GATTTGTTGTGATGAGCATCAAAGGTTTCATCATCGCTATTAAATCGGGCATGCTTTTCATTTGTTGAGCTTTTATCTAAGGGTTTAGCGTTGAATACATTCACTGAAGGGAGGAGCAACTTTCTCACCTGCAAAGTTCAAACATATATTCTCATTCTTGTTTGATTACCCCCACACAGTTACACTAATCACAATGGAAGAAGAAGTAAAAAAGTGGTTTTACCTTCTTAGCTGACTTCTCATTATCAGAGATCGGGTTTCCTCGAATATTCAGGTTTCTTAAGCAAGATAGTGTACCCAAAACCTTACATTCGGGAACACAAAATTTTGACAGTTTAGTACTAGATCAACGCAAATACTTGCCTCGAGCTAGATAAGGCAAAAAGTCTGCTTTCACTTGTATGGATACACTATACCTCTAAACCAGAGAGACTCGTGATCATATTGTTTCCCACATCCAAATTCAGTAGTCTCTTGTTGAGAGCAAGTTCTGCAGGGAGAGTCTGACCATTTAAACGTAAAGGAAACAATCATTAGCAATATAAACAAAGATTGTGGAAGAGGCCGGTGTGATTTGTAGACTGTATATATATCTACGGAAGAAAGATCACCTTAATTTCATTGTTGGCGAGTCGTAGCTCTTTCAAATCAGAGCATGACTTGAGAGAAGAGCCAATAACTTTTATTCTGCAGTCAGACAAAGAAATCTGAAACCAGGGGATTAGGCAAGGACCACTTTAGTTTTGATTCCAAGACAAGTGAAAAAATTGAGCTCACTTTAGAGAGGTTTTTCAACTTGGAAAGCGAGTCACCGATTTCACTGATCGGGTTCCTAGAAAGAACTGCATCAATCCATAAACAAACAACAAAACTCAAGTAGATAAAATTGGGTAAGCAATTAAAAGAGTAACAGGTTGATCTGATGTAAGAACATACCGAGACTGTTCAAGTCTTTCAGTAGATCTAGCTTGCATATGGAGGAGATTTCATTGTCTACAATAAGTGAAACAAGTAAAGACAATAAAAAAAGGCAATCATCAATAGTAGCCTGAGGGATGCAAAGACACATTTCATAACTCACCATTCAGAATCAACGCACGCAAATTGACAAGAGAAGAGATCTCATTCATGGATTTGAGCTTATTCTTTCCAGCATTTAGCACCTGAATTGCAAATGAAAGCACACAATCAAATCAAGCTGATATCTTTATTAGCAACCAAAGTAACAAAACAATCAGATGAAAGTGCAAACATTTTACAAAGAAATGATTTCAGTGGAACTTACTGTAAGCTTAGTTAGTCCTTGAATACCATTCAAGCTCTGCAATTTATTTTCCACAACTGATAGCCATTTCAAATTCACACAAGAACTCAGTCCCTAAAACAAACGAAACATGAGAGATGATTCAATCAATTTTTGGTTGTACTTTTTTTCACTCTGCTTTGCTTATAGAGATTATTAAACCTGAAGATCAGTGAGATTGTTGAAACGAAGATCAAGCTTCTCCAAGTTTCTGAATTTGCTCAAACAAGAAACCTAAAGATCAAATTTTTACACAGTTAGGGATTCGTTTCAGTTTCTTATGGAGAAAGAGAGTTTACAGAAACAAAAACTCACGTCGGTGAGAGCTCTGTGGCTAAGATTAAGTTCCTTGACGGAATCGAGGTCATGGGTCTTCTTCTCTTTTAGAACTTGTTCAACGGTCAACAAATTGGTCGCCATCTTCGTCGCAGCAAAACCCTAGGAAACCCGTAGTGAAGAAGAGATTGTCACTTGTCAGTGTTTCCCCTTCCAGGTTTTTATTAACATGGGAACCCCACAGTTTTCTTTAATTTATAAATTTGACCCAGATATTTATGGTACGAATCAGGAACAACCCACTCATTTGTACAAATTGTTTGGTTCTTCAAGGATTGTTCCAAACTATAGGATTGTTCCAAACTATGTAACAATCTCAAGACCGAACCAAGTATTGCACAATCATCCTGGCATTACAAAATACAGTTAAGACTTCCGATTAGCTTCGGTGAAGATTTGGCAACCAGGTAGAGTGATGTCACCTCCTCCAAATCAGAGCCTCCTATCAAAAAGCAGATAAAAACATTTATTAAGTCAACACGATACAAGTCTAACCAAAAAGATTGAGCAAGCAATACCACTAGAATTTTTGACAATTTTTGGGATCTTTTACCTCTTTGTTGTTCAGTCTTCGTAAAGACCTCCAAACCTTTTCATGAGGACCCGCATAAACTCATCTTTATCCATCTTGATGAGGTGCTCTGCTTTAACAGGATCATGGTCCATTAGCCATCTTGCCATTTCTGACGTCGTTGTCCCAGAGCGGTAGAACTCTGTCGCTTCCTCTAAGAATTCGCAGTTTGTCAGTAAGGCAAGATATCATCTTACTTGAGAATGAGATGCTTCACACCATTGAGATCCACTTCAGTTCCTGCGTATTTGGTGTACAGAATTTGTAGTCCAATCTAAACCAAGAGAAGAAGAAAAAAAAAGGCATTTCAGATGTATTTATTAGCAGCAAAACAAAGCAAACGAGGAAAGAGAGGTGGTAAGTGTATTACCAGGAGAGTGATACCAGCTTTGGGTCTCCCAATAGTTGTTTCTTCACCAACAGCAACAACTTCACCTTCACCGACTTGATGTTTTGATTGAGCTGTGGAAGGAAGTAAGATACCTCCAACGGTCTTCTCTTCTGCCTCATTGATCTTCAACACTCTTATCTCCCAATGGCTTAATTGAAGTATACTGTAAAATAACCATAAAACGAACAGAGAATTTGTAAGTCCAAACCAAGCTTGCAAAAGAAAGCTAGAAGCATAAGTTGATGAGCCATACAAACAGTAATCCAACATTCACATAAGCTCCATATGTTCAGTCCATACTAACTAACCAAACAGCAATGAATTGAGACAAAGAAGTGAGCAAGTAAGTACCTTAGGAGGAATCACAACAGCAGCTTTAACAACCAAAGGACGAAACTGAACCTGCCTAAAGGTCCCTGGTTTCAAAGTTCCGAAAGAAGAAAACTTGACACTCGACGCTCTAAGACCTTCAAGCGAAGCTAAGCTCCTCGCTGACACAGACACAGGTGATGCTGTAAGTTGAGTAGACGCCATTTCTACAATCAGTAAGAACACACAACAAATTGAGAGAGAATCCTGTCAAGGGTTTATTTCAGGTTCACAAAACCCCCATTACTTTTACTTTTATCAGCCTAAAATTCAAACCTTTTGTGTTCACTTCTCGTAGCCAAGCTTTACTAAAACCCTTTTCGACCCAAAAAAAACAAAAAATGGTTCGGTTTGTAAATCACGGTAAGAAAAGAGAAGAGATTTGTCTTCCCTCAGAGCTTTGAGAATTTGGAGGATAAAGAAAAACCAGAGTTTTCTTTTGTTTATTATTGTAGGAATCAGAGACACTTGTGCTGACTCCAAATTCATTTGTAATATCACTTTACGTGTTGTTTGTTCTTGATCTATTGGTTTATAAATTATAATGAAACAAGGGGACTCAATATAGAGAAACGCAACCAATGTAACAATCTCAAGATCGAACAAGGATTGGCTCAGGTGAATCATGGATTTAAAATAACTAAGGCTTTAAACTGATCAAAGATTAACCACTCTCTGTCTTGAGAAACAAATTCTGTCCCACTCAATTTAACCTTCCTCCATGTCTTGACATATTACAAAATAGTTAAGAGAAGAAACAGGAGAAAAAATATGACAACTTTTGATAAAATCATCCGATTAGTGTTCTCATGAGATGTATTTTTCTTGTTGCTCATGCAAAAGCTTCGCTGAAGATTTGGCATCCAGGTAGAGTGATGTTACCTCCTCTAAATCAGCCTGTCAAAAGTCCGAAATACCAAGAAATTAGCATGAAAGATTAAACAACCTAACATTTATTTTTAGACTGCTTTATGGTTATAAGTTTCACAAGCAAGTACCTTGCAAATATTGTCACGTCCATTCATTTTCGCCACGATGCTGGCAGGAGACAATAGCTGAACCGCGTGCCTGAAAGTGAAAGCACGAAAAAAGGTTTAGAGATGTAAAGAAAACTTGCAAAAAAAGAAGCAATAATGACAGTTTAGTCTTAAACCTTAGGGATGTTCTTTGCCCAATGTCCCCAAGTAGGACCAAGCATTCTTCATCAACGGTTAGCTCTTCCACTTGCGCACGAATGGCTATAATCTGGCCACATATCAATGATTGCATCTATTAGAATGTTGTTAACTAATCTTTATCCGAAAACTAAAGGATGGAGAAGGGAAAACAATTAGGAACCTGTATCATTTCAGAGGGATTGTAGATTTGGGTCCGGATAATGACTAACCGATCCAACAAGTCAATAGGGACTCCATGGGGACTGGGCATATCAGTCCCTCTGCAAATAAAGTGAATCACTGTGCTAAGTAAACTGAAACTCACATGATTCCAAAGGACGAAAAATGATTATATTTACTGAGGTCTAGCGCTTCTCCTCACCTCACATTGCAAACACCTCTATTTGTTGCAAATATCACTATTGGAGATAATGAGCTCTCAAGGGCACGGTTTAGGTATGAAAAACACTCCATATCGAGCATATGAACCTGAAGTTTTTGGCATTTAAAGAAACAAAGTTATTCTCACTGCTCCTGAGCAAGATCAACATGGAGTAAAAAAAAAAACTTATTAGGAAAATACCTCATCGATAAATAGAACTCCAGGAACAAGCTCGGCAACACCTTCATCTATATAGCGGTTCACGACCTGCAATAACCATACACCATATAATATTAGACTTTCAGCAAAATCCAAACAAAAAACCATCTAAGTTTTACTGAAGATCACCTTGTTAATTTCTTGGCGCAGCTTATCAGTGATCTCAGTCTTCCGGGGTTTCATCATTTGGCCCATCAAAGAAAGTATATCCTGCCCACCTTGAGGTCGAGCATTTGCTGCATCCAGATCTTGGAGCGTGACATCCTACCGATAGTGAAGAAAATTTTAGAGGCTTAAAACATACAGACATTAAACAAATACCAAGATGTAATAATTGACAATGATGGTCATAGATTGTACACCTGCACTATCTCTTTCCTTTTGTGAACCTCTCCTTTTGGAAGTGGAACATATTCTTCAGCTTCCAGATCGAATTCAGTAGCAAAAGCATCACTTCTACCTACCCTCTTGACAGCTCCACTGTTTGATTCAATGTATATCACATCTCCTACAGCTACCTGAGAGCGAAACAGTAAATATGTCACAACAGATTGAGAAAGTAATCAGCAACTTCACTATAAAGAACTGTCTGGATGTAGCAACATGGTAATTTGTAGCAAAAAATAACTTGCTTCAACCTGGGGGCCAAACAGAAAACAATACCAGGTGCAAAGAAGTCAAATAACTAACCTTTTCCTTAATCAAGGCATCATATATAGTGGGATCCAACTTCAGTTGTTTGGTTCCTCTGACTGACTTGAGTCCAATTATAACATGACTGATGCTTTTACCATAACCTCCAGTAAGACTTTCAGTTTCTTCTGGAGACAGCTCTGTAACCTGGGAAAGGAACACATGTTAACAATCTAACAAAAAAAAGACATACTACTGTACAAGAACACATCAAAAGAAACCTTAAATAGCAACATACCTCCCCTTCATAGACTTCTTTGGTTTCCTTGATACGTAGTCCAATGGCACGTCTAAAATTCTCCATGAGAACCTCTGTTTTCTTAACTTCTGATGAGTAAACCTCAGATCCAACCATTGGACAGAAGGGAACCTGCAAACAAGATCCAGATAACATAAGCTCAAAGCAAATAATAAATTGCTTCATACCATGTATCTGAAGCCAATGTGAATCCATGGAATAAAGAAAGATGCAAAACGAATAAAATCTGTTATTACCTTAGTTCCCAGCTCTTGGGATATTCCAAGAGCCAATGCTGTTTTCCCAGTTCCAGGAGGTCCAGCAAGCAAAAGAGCCTTGCCAGCCATTTTCTTCTGCTTAATCATGTCAACTACAAGACCAGCTGCCTCTCTAGCCTCAAGTTGACCCACAAATCCAGCCGCTAATGGTATAGGAATCCCGGTCGGCTAGAAAAGAAGACATAAAAATCAGCAATGCTTGTAGAAAAACATCACACTAATGCTTCACAAGTTACTATCATAAAGGAACCAAAGTGAAAAGAGCAGGCTTTCGGGTCAACAAGCACCATTGAGTACAATATCTCATAATAGATACATTACCCCCAAGAAAAGCCGAAACTTTACAAGTCTAAGAGAGATTACACATGAAGCAATTAGCTTGAAAACCCTAAGAAGCTTAGATCACTAAACCCAAACGAACTTCGAGCAATAACACTACAATCTTCTTGTAGAGTCAAAGAGAGTAAAAACGAACCTCGAGACCAAGACCTTTGATATGTGTGTGAGTAGCAATCCGCTGTTTCTTAGCGGTGGACTGAATTTCTTCAATCTTCACTTTCTCCATCTCCGTCAACTGTTACTGTCTTTCTTTTCAAGTCACGGAGAAGATTTCTGGGTCTTTGCTATATTCTCCGACGAAGACGGCGGCGGAAGAATTTGAGGCTCTCGCTCTCTCTCTGAAGTTTGCAACGCCTCCTTTGATCTTTCTTCTACTCCAAATCGGCTAAAACCCCTCCTTTGTACAGCTTCTTTGTTGCATCAATGGTCCTTATATTTATATTTTATTTACAAAAACACCTTTATAATTTTGGGACTTGTTATGAAAATGAGAAAATCCCTTAGAGGACTCAATAGTCATAAACAAAACTTAAGGGGCGAATCTGTAATATACAAATAATGATAGTTACTTGTTTTTTCTCAATGAAAGTCAGATAAGCTTTGCGGACTACTTACTTCTACTGGAACCATCAGAGACCGTAGCACATGGAGACTCTCTCGATTTCCTCCGCTTCGTTGTTTACCGGCGGCGTCATTCCTCCGCCGCAAATGAGGCTTGCTCCGCCGTATCTCCTTCGGAAACCTCCGAACAGGAATTCTCCACGCTTGTCCGCCTTTAATGCCGCTTCTCGCTCTGGTAACA